CACACACACACACACACACACACACACACACACACACACACACACACACACACACACACACACAAAGACAGATGTCAGATGTAGCTCTACAGCTTTAACCCTCAGTCAGCCTTAAACTGGTGAACAATAGACTAAACCACTAAGGATTATGAGGGGACATAGTTTGTCTAATATTTGCCTATATAAATGGTGGATATACTATTTATATCCATATATTAACAATTATAACAATATTAAAACAACATAAAACAGTAGTTTTTAAAGTATATTTAACTCAAATGATTTATTGGGGGAATGGTTGTGGATTTCTTTTTATGATTCAAATGAAAAACACCTGTTAAAACTGTGTGGAGAAAAAAAAGTATCATACTTGCTAGAGTTTGTCCATTGATGCTCCATGTGATGATGGGCTCTGGACTTCCCTTAGCCTGACAGTCCAGTCGAACAGTTTCCCCGGGAGTATACATCAGGTCCTGGGACTCCTTCGACCAGTAGGGCGCCGCTAGTAAAAAAACAATCAAGATCAAAACAAAAAGAAAAGAATGAGTCACAAAATTCCTTTATAGCATCTGTTAAAACTGGTTAGAATACAAATAAAAGTTATCTAAGAGAAAAAAAGAGAAAAAAGATAATCAATGAGCTGAAACATTAATGGTGATGACAAATATGAATGTCCTGATGCATCTCAGTAAACCAGGTAAAAAATCAAAAAGAAAAAAAATTGTATAGGTCTTCTGGACGGATTCTTCTCTAATGAAACGTTTCGTCTCTCCTCCAAGATACTTCTTCAGTCTGAGCGTTTCAGGCAAAATTCAGGCTTTTAAGCACTGCCTCCATGTGACTGATACTGACATCACATGGCCATCATTGACACCTAATTAACACCTACTGTTAACAGGGGGTGGAGTGATACTGGCAATAGCAGCACTGTTGGAGGGGGACAACTGAAAACGGAGGCCAATATTTGCGTTTTGACTCCCACCACCCACTGGAACACAAGTTAGGAGTGATCAGAACTCTGTACCACAGAGCAGACAGTGTCCCTACAAACCCAGGAGCCAGGCAGAAAGAGAAATCACA